TTAACACACAGGCGTCTTGCGAACAATTGTCTGAAAACAAATTGAGTTGTTTGTGTGCCTACGTGGAGAAAGCAACTAGGAAAGTAATTTGTAAACCTGAAACAGCCCAGAGGCGTTTGGGCCAGAGTTGTCGAGTCCTCCCTTGGCCAGTCCTAACTGTGGGTTATTGGACGAATCATTTCATATACTCTGTGCTCAGCTTCCTCGGCTATAAAATAAGGCCGTAATAATTCCTCATGTGTAGATTTATTGCGATGACCACGAGGTGATGTATGTGAATGAACTTTGTAAAAAGCTAGGCAAATGTCTAGGGTTTGGTTTCCTGACTTAACATTTTCACAAACAATTCAGAAGGAGAGAGAGAAGCAAATTTTCTGATTTGCAGAAAATATTAAAATCCTGTAGATAATGAAAGATGCAAGGAGATCCATTTTTAAAATCTATATTGAAGCTGAGCAGATGCTCATATGGTCCCTTTCTGCTTTGACGTTCCAGGATTCTATGAGATTGCAGCGTCTATGGTTATGATTGGCTGTATGATCCCACTGTGGCTTCAGTGGTCAACATGTTAATTACCAGTGTGATTCAGGAGACATTTACCTTTAACTCTCTTAATAGCTAGCTGCTAATAATGCTTTTGCTGAGGTCCTCAGGTATGTCCCCATTTGGGCTAAGCCAAGTTCCTCTGGGTGTGACCTGCCTGGAAAGCCCTTCTCAGCTAGTCATCCACTTGCAACAAGTCACTGCCCAAATATCTTCTTATTCCGTGGCCTTCCCAGACCACTCTTCCTAAAACATCACTACCTCACCCTTCAAACTCTCCATGCCCCCAAGCTTGCTTTATTCCTTTAAATAGCACTCATTCCGCCTTGACATATTGCTTATTTCTTTGTTTCTTTATCATTTCCCTCCACATGATGCTTAATATTATGTGTTGACATGACTGGACCATGGCACCCAGATATTTGCTCAAACATTATTCTGGATGTTTCTGCGACAGTTTTGCTTGTTTGTTTGTTTTGGTTGATTTGTACATTTAAATTGGTAAACTTTGAGTAAGTTAGATACCCTCTGTAAGTGAGTGGGCCTCATTCAGTCAGTTGAATGCCTTAATAGAATGAAGACTGAGATTCCCTAAGGAAGAAGGAGTTCTGCCAGGCTGCCTTTGGACTTGAGCTGCAGCTCTTCCCTGACTCCTCAGCATACTGGCCTACCCCATCAGCAGAATTTGGTCTTGCCAAGCCTTTACAGTTGTGTGAGCCAATTCCTTAAAATAAATCAATCTCTCTATCTACACACACACACACACACACATGTACACACGTGTGTGCGCACACACACAAGCACTATTGGTCCTGTTTCTCTCAAGAACCCTGACTAATACAGTACACTTCATTTACATATAAACTCTATGAGAGCTAAGTCTTTATCTGTTTACTGCTCTGTTCTTGGATGTCTGTCTGGCACATAGTAGGTACTCAAAAAGTATTTACTCATTTAAGTAATTGATTAATGTGTTAGCTAATATTATTCCCAGCGGAATATAAAATTGAGGTCTCTCTGACTTTTTAGTCTTTGTCATGATGGAAATTTTAAATTAATTTTATTCCTTTTTTTCCCATTTGGTTATCATTTGCCTTAGTTTATCCACTTTTCACATCTTTGATTTAACTGATTTTCTGGCCTTTTCAGCTTTTTTGAAAAAAAAATTTTTTGAGCATTCTGATCACTTAGTTCTTTGTGGGTTTCCTGCCTTGTCACAGTCAAAAACACCCCAGTTTCTGCCTGGAAAGTTTGGGTTAAATCTTTGCATACTACAAACTTGAGCTAATGCAAAAACTTAAAAAAACACAAGCTGCGTGGAACACTGCTTACATAATATCTTGTAAGAGTGAGAACATGCTCTTTAGACCCATCTTTCTTTTTTTATCCTTGACATAATTCTTTGATGCTGAACTAAGTAGGAAATGTTTCCAGAAATTCAGCTCTGTGAAGCAGGTGTGATCAAATATGAGATGAGTTTGGCGCTGGTATCTGCTCCATGGCCAGTGATGTTTATGTCTTTCACTGTTCTACTCCAAGATTCACATTTCTCAAATTCTGAATGTATTTTTGGACAGTGGGTTTTGATTTCCGTCAAAAACTTCAAAACTAAAGCAAACTTAGAAAGTCCATTTCTTTTAGACATCTCCAGAACATTTAGTACATGCCCAGGTTTTTTTAGAAATAACACTAAGGTAACGATTCATACATGTTACATTACATAAATGTTAAGCACTCTCTGAGTGCTTGATCATTTAAACCAGGAATTGTGGACCTGCTTGTGATATTGTCACATGACTGCTGGATGAAATTAGCTTACCAAGGAAAAGATGGGACCTATAGCTGTAGGGGACACACACACACACACACACACTATTGGGTATCAACTTTGAGCACCTTTGACTTGTCAATTTTGGCTACCCAATTTTGACTCAGATCTCTTTGAGTTTAAATCTGTGTCATTTTCTTCAGTTTCTGGTGAGAAACCAGAATTGAAAGAGAAGGAGAGCAAGTAACATCTCACTGTTAACTCCCTCTTCCCAGCAACAGGGGTGGCTGATAACAGAAAGGAGTTGCTTCTACTCAGTTTGGTTGTTTAGATTCTGTTTTCCATTATCTCTTGCAAAAAGGACTTACTGATTTCTTCTAGCTACAGAGATCTTTACATTTGTTTGAGAATTTTCATGTGCTGGCAATGTCTGGAATGTTACATGGTTAGTATATTTAATTTCTGACTGTCAAATAGAACAAAGTTTGTTATAGAATAAGGATCCTAAAAGGTGAATGACTTTCATTTGAAAGCCCTTCCCATCTTAGCAGTTAACCCTTTGGTGTGATTTCAATCACATTATTATTTCCTAAAGTGCCCAATTCAGTTACTGTTCATTAGCTATTAATGCTCTGATCTAGAAGAGGGACTAATATTAACAGGATGACAGGATGACCTTCTGTAGAAAAGGTAAGAAGTGGGGAACTGTCATCTTGAAAAGAGAAATTGATACTAATAAATACTTTTTGTTCAAAGCTGCTTTAGAAGCAGATCAGAGATTCAAATGTGTTTTAAAAAGTAAGAGTCATGCAAATATAACGTTAAAAAATCCCCCAATGATTAATACATTACAAATAATATGCCCATGTGCAAATCTGCTTTTGGAAACTTAACATTCATTTTCGATTATAATCAATGTTACTTGTCTCTGTGTTCACAGGACCTGGCACATAGAAGGTGCTAGTGAAATGTCTGTTGGGTTGAAAAGGTAGTGGTTTGATAGTGAAGCCAGTATATTTAGGCATAATTCCTCTGATCTGTTTACCATTTCCAATTATTCTTTACATAGAATTGTTCGTATAGAGAAAGTAAGCTGTATTTTATCGTGAGTTGGGTGTAGGGGAAAAAACACTGTAATAAGAGTGAGGAGACTCAGACAAGTCCTAGCTCTCTACCTTTTGCTCATGAGTGACCCTGGATAAGTCAGGTATTTTCTTGATATTTTGGTGTGATATACCCTCCTGGAGTCTGGATGTTAGAAATGTATTTTTCAATACATCAATTCATCCATCCCAGGAGGAAAAGATGGCAACCGCATCTCCTTCGTCCCTCCTTCCTTGGAGGTCCCATGGTATCTTGTGACTTAGAAGGGATGCAGGCTTTGGTGACAAAGGGGGAAGGGCTAAAAGGGAAGATGTGGGGACTCCTGTGGCAGTGATTTATACGTGAAGAATATTTAGTTCCCTTGACTCAGAAGATGCCATAAAGTAGAAGAAAAAAAGTATACCATAAAAACTATGAAAAATGACCTTGAGGGAAAACTCCTCAGAACCAGTAGTTTAAAATTTTTTGATGCTTAGCAATGAATTTACATATTCCACATAAGATGAAAAATTATTTGTATTTGTGTTTAGAGAGACAAACAATAAATGTTTAGAAAACCTGAGAAAGGAATCAAACAGACATTACCTCCAAATGTTTCCATACATTTTAGAGGCTCATTTTTCTAAGGAACTCAAGCCAACTAAGATGAATTTGACACAGCGTCACTTGGACCTATGGGTTTTGTCTCCAGAAAAAAGGAACAAATAATAAATTAAAGATTGGTTCTCTATTAAGAGAAGTTCATTTTTCCTGAATAAAAGTGAAGAAAATCCTGTTGGGTTTATTGTATGGTTAGATAACCAGGAAGGATTTACTGTATGGTTAGATAACCAGGAAGGAGTTCATCAAAACTGTAGATTCTATTGCTATATATAAAAAAGGAAGAAACAGAACATGCTGTAGCTAAGTACCAGGTTTGGGAGAAATTATCACTATTTATCCTCACAATAACCCTTCAAGACAGAAAGTACTGTTGTCACTTACAGATCAGGAAACTGAGGATCAGTGAGGCCCTTTGACTTGCCCAAAGTCAGTGTTGGCAGCAGAGCTGGGATTCAAACCACAGTCGTTTTGAAATTTCATGTTTTTTCCTACTCTGCTATGTTGTCCCTCACTGGAACTTAATAATAATAATAATAATAATGCTTACCAGCCACCTATTTATTATGTGTGAGGAATTGTGCTAAGAACTTGAAGTGCATTATTTTATTTAATCATCACAGCAAACCTATGAAGAAGAGATTATTTCCACCTTATAGATAACAAAACAGAGACGTGGAGAATTTAAGTGACTTTCCCCTCAATCATAGGGCTGATAAGTGGGAGCCGTGACTTTTGAGCCCAGAGCTGTGGCTCCTACCATCCGTGATGCTGTTTCTCGGGTAGTTTGGAGAACTCGAGGTCTGGACTGTCATGCAATTGATCTGCTCCTTTTTTGGAGATGAGTCAGTGGAAGGATGGAACCCACGTTGATTTTGCCTGTGCACGGCAAATAAAATACAGCCATTTGGGGCGGCTTACACCTGTTTACCAAGTTGCTTAGTTCAGAAGTCAGTAAAATTCTCTTCATGTTTTTCATTTACAGATATTTACCTCCATTGCTGGACCATTATCTAAAGGTGATAATGCCCATGTGGCTGATAGCAACTCTGAGATGCTGAAATTGAGTAAGAATATTACTAAAAGGGAGAGCTGCGATGAAGGCCTGTATCGTGAGCACGAATTTTGTTGTCAGCCGTGTCCTCCTGGTATGTTATACAAAAAAAATCTAGCGATCAGAATGAAAATCGGGGTGAGGAGTAGCATATAATAATAATGAAGAGAGTGTTTTTATAGCGTTTAGTTCTCCTGCATTATGGCCTGACTGGGAAGGAAAAAAAAATGACATTATTTTCCAAAGACCAGCTTATGTCATCTTTATCACACTGGTTTGATGTGAGAATAAGTAAATATAATTTATAAATGACATGTACCTCAGAAATGAGAGGATTTATTTATTTAGCTCCATTTTTCAATAGCAAAAGCAGAATAATTTGTGGATATTAAAACTTAGCACATCAGACTGGTGAGAATATATCATAATAATTGTGGAGCTCTGAAAGCAAGGGACTTCTATCCTTAAGAGATGTCTCAACACTTCCCTTCGATCAGAAAGTATCTGAGCTGTTTGTCCTAGCACTGAAGCCTGCAAAATACATTTGCATTTTACAACCAAATAACTAGATAAGCTAGGAAAGCAACGGAGAAAAACCAACCATTTTTTAAAATCAGTATTTTTGAAATGAAAACCAATTTCAGATTGGAAATCCTTCAAACAGTAGCAAATTGGAAGCTAAGCAAAATGCAATTGGGCAGACTTTTTTTTCAACATGGAGTAGAGTTGACTACTATTTTATACAGATATGGATCTCCCAGTTGCATTGTGAAGGAAAACAGGAAGATAAAGGAAAACAACACATGGGCATATGCGATAGCTTAATAGAACCATAAAGGATGGTGGTAAGTTTCATGTTTGGCTTTCCAGGCCTCCAGCACTCTAGCTGCTAAACAGGCACGGGCCCTGTTTATAAAAAGATTCTAACAGTCCATCTTGGCCTTCTCTCCAGGTTTTAATAACCCTTATGGAAAATCTCTCATAATCTAACCCATTTACATTTAAGCGTATTCACATTCACTCTTCTCCAAATGAGAATGAAGAATGGCTTTCTGGCTTTTTTGTAACTTGCTAAACACCATCTATTTTTCCTGTGAATTGAGACCTTTACTCCTATTTTTAAAACCTAAAATGCAAATTAAAATGAAGCTAATAAGCTTTGACTATCAAACTGTTAAGGACTTTGTTTGCTTTTTGTTTGTTTGTTTTGCTTTGTTTTATTTTCGTTTTAGAAGTGATCTCAGTCCTGGTGAGTTTGCTTGTGAGATAACTCTCATATGTCATTCTTGGAATGTAAATTGTTAAAAAACCTTTTAAGAAGGAAATTTGGATATGTGGATCAAAACTTTGAAAATACACTGACACAGTAATAGTTTTATAGAAAAATGTCTTAAGAAAATAGTCAAAAATAAAAGAAAATACTGTATGCATGACATTTCACTATGATACCCAATGATGTAAGATTAAGTAAATTTTGGAGTATTCAAAGACTGGAATATTATGTATCAATCAAAGTCATGTTTTCTGATATATTTCTGATATAAGCCTCAATGTATATAAATTCCCTTAAGAGATTTCTAACTGATCTGGTGGCTGGATTAACTAATTCTCTCTGCTCCATCTCTAAAAGATCCTGGATGGTGTCCAATATATACTAAACACTCTTTCCGCTTCTATTCCTTTTTTTTTAAAATTTTAAGCTTATCAATATTCAGATTGCTTCCAAATTTGTTTATGCTCATTGGTGTTGTGATATTAATATGTAATTTAATTAAATATTACATAAACCAATATATGAATACACAGAAAAAACAGATTTTATTTCTATGAAAATTATTTTGAATGCTTTGGAGAATTTCAGTAAAGTTGGGTTACTAAAAAAAAGTTAATGTATTAGGTGGAGGCAAAATACATGGAAAAATCACAAAAATGTTAAAGCCTTTCATACAGATTATTGGTGTCTTTAAGTTTTCTTTCCATCAAAGAGAAAGGAAGAAAGAAAAGAAAGAAGGAGGAGAAAAGAAAGAAAGAAAGGGAGAAAGGAAATCAGGGACTTCCCTGGTAGTCGAGTGGTTAAGAATCCGCCTTCCAATGCAGAGGACTCGGGTTCGATCCCTGGTTGGGGAATTAAGATCCCACATGCCACGGGGCAACTAAGCCCACATGCCGCAACTACTGAGCCCACGCACCTCAACTAGAGAGTCCATGTGCTGCAAACTACAGAGCCTGTGCACTGCAACAAAGATCCCATGTGCTGCAACTAAGACCCAACGCAGCCAAAGATAAATAGATAAATAAAATAAAGATGAAGTCAGATTTTGCCCCCAAAAAAGAAAAAAGGAAATCATAGGCGATGCATTTTGGATGTGACTTAAGTGAGAAAGGCTATAGAATTCTAATAACTTGTTTCTACATCACAAGAGTGGCAAATAATTATATAGTTATATTTTATAAATTGAAATATTGACAGTATTTTTTTCAATGATCCCTTATGTGAACTGACATTTTTAATCAAAAAAGTCCTCATCACATCACCATATCCAATAAGAAGGATTCTATGGTACACTGCATACATTTTATATATATATATATATATATATATATATATATATACACACACACACACACACACATACACACATATATATGCACACACACACATATACTCACATGTATATATGTGTGTCTTTATATGCATAGGAATGCACCAAAATGAAAACAGTATCTCAGAGCAGTTGACATATAGGTGCTTTCTACACTTTCCTAAATTTTCCAAATTTTCTACAATGAGCATATGTACTATTATACTCAGAAACAAATATATTTTAAAATATTATTTTCAAGAAAACAACTACTTTTTAAATATTTTGATAAATTTAGGTTGTATACATTGGAGAAAAGAAAGAACTTGTGATATTGTATTCCTGTCATGCTGTAGGCATTGTGCCAGGCACATTCTGCAAGGTAATTCATTAAAGAGGCCAATTCATTTAGAAAGCAGTATAATTCCACTGACAAGCAATTAAAGTTGTACTTTGGCTTGGTTTTCTTAAACATACTGCTGCAATGGTATAGAACCCTTATGCACTGTATTTAAATTTGGTTCTGAGTTTCCACAATGTATTTTTTTTTTCTATTGACCTATCATTGCCTTTGTTTACTAAAATATTGTATATGTTTAAATTTCATAATTTGTTTATGTAGTATTTTGTTTTATCAAAAAGAATGCTATGAAATCATTAAGAAAGTCATGTTCCTAGGAGAGGCAGCTTACATTATTTTTGCTGTTCATGCACATACAGCAGATGAAACTTTAGACTTAAACTGCACACCAACTCTGGGAAACATCCAGGAAGGTATTCCTGGACACTTCTGCTAACATCCCATTGGCTGGGACTTAGTCACATGGCCATGCAAAGGAGGCTGGGAGATGTAGTCTTGACTCAGGGCAGCCATGTCCCCTGGTAAATATCCTATTCCTATGGGAGGAGGGAAAATGGATATTGGGTGACAATCAGGGATCTCTGCCACATTGACTAATCCTTTACAAAGTCCTAAATTAGGGAGAACGTAAAGACATTGTAATGTGTTGAACTGTGTACTAATCACCATTTGCAGTTAGGTTTTTGGCATCCAGAGTGGGCATACCAAGTAAATAATTCCTCCATAGAGTGATCCCAGGAAGGCAAATGGGGAAGCTTTGACTTCAGAGAGAGAGTTATGGGACAGTGTTAAAAAGGAAAAGGCAAAGCAAGTGAAGAACCACGTCCCAGGGCACACGTTCTCCAGTGCAGCAGACAAGCCACAGGGACTGTGAGATGAAGGCAGAGAAACAGGACAGAGCCCCTGACCTCAGGGAGCTTCCAGTCTTGGAATGTAAACTCCTACACTTTACCAGCTGTGGTAACACTTCAAAAGTTTTGTCTTAGTTTGTAACATGGTAGCTGAAATCTTTACCAAGCAGATACTGAATAATGTTTAATAGCTCAAGTTCTGGCATCAGACCCTGCTTTCAAATCCTCCATCTGACACTTAGAGGATGACCAACATATTTTGGTTTGCCTGAGACGTCCCCAATTTTAGCACTAAAAGTCCCACATCCTGGGCAAACAGGGATGGTTGGTCCTCCTAGCTATTAACAAGCTTCATGTCCTTTGGCAAGTCACCTGACTTCTTTGAATCTGGCTCTTTAACTGTAAAATGGACATAATAATAGTTCTGACCTTTTATGATTATTGTGAACATTAAATGGAAATGTGTTAATAGTGTTTAGCAGAGTCCTTGGCTTAATAAGTGCTAATATTATCATTTATTATTACCATTATAAGAACTGTTATGGATCTGATGGGTGCACATACATTTTACTTGCATTCTTCTGGATGGAAACTACATGCTGTACTGGAATAAGTGAAATTGAGTATTTGTGTTGGTTTTATAACATATTGCTCATGAATGGCAAGGAGCTACTGTTACTGAGGAATTTTCTTTTCAAATTTAATATAGATCTCCAGTGTTCCTTCTTTCACCTTCTCTGTATACTAATCTTTTTTGTTGTTGTTCTACTAATCTTTTTTTGTTGTTGTCATGGGATCTAAAATGAGAATATTTTCTGAACAGTCATGTAAAGTAATTGTCTGAAATGTTACAATAAATTTTCTTTTAAAAGGCAAAAAAAAAAAAAGAATGCTATGAGGTTATTAAGAAAGTCATGTACCTGGGGAAAGAGCATAAATTATTTTTGCTGTACATGCGAGGGGGACAGATTAGATTTTGCCTATTCTTTTAAATTAGTTATAACGTAATAATTACAGTCACTAGTCAGGCTTTTCTCTTAGATTTCCCTTTATATTTTCTATCTCTTTTGTCTTCATTCTCTATTCACTTGCCCTAAACTAGCTTTCCCCACAGCACTTATCACCACTTGCCGTCTTGTATTTATTTGTTCATTGCCTGCTTCTACCTTGACAATGTGAAGCCTGTGGAGACCAGGCTTTGTCTTATTTCCTGCAGTATCTCCAGCTCCTAGAAAGTGCCTGGCACACAATAGGTATTTAATAAACACTTCTTAAATAAATGAATTTTCCAGAAGGCATTGTTGTATAATGCTTACTAATAGAAATCCAATGACTCATTTTATTTTTAAAGTAAATAAAAGTAAATGCGAATATGATTTAAACTTTTGCGTATTAAGATAGCAAACCTGGTAATAAATTTTGTTGTAAATATGTTCATGCCTGCACATCATAACGTATTCTGTCCCTTAACGGCAAAGGAATAGAAAGAAAGGGGAGTGAAAAGGGAACTGTGAGCGATTACTAGGCAGGTCCTGTGCAGTAATGTTAGCCATGCAAGAGAAGTATGATTATCTCCATCATATGCATGAAGAAGTTAGGCTTAGAGAGATTAAGCACTTATTTTTGTTTGTTTTCTTTTGTTTTCTTTGGCTGTGTCGGGTCTTAGTTGAGGCACGTGGCATCTTTTGTTGCAGTGCACTGACTTCTCTCTAGTTGTGGCACATGGGCTCAGTAGTTGCAGCACAAGGGCTCTGTAGTTGCGGCATGCAGGCTCTCTAGTTGTAGTGCTCAGGCTCAGTAATTGTGGCACGCAGGCTTAGTTGCCTTACTGCACGTGGGATCTTAGTTCCCTGACCAGGGATCGAACCTGCATCCCCTGCATTGGAAGGTGGATTCTCAACCACTGGATCACCAGGGAAGCCCCAGATTAAGAACTTTGTTAAAGATATTGTTGCTATTAAATATTTGACCAAAGTCTTTAGAACTTCAAATGTTCTCTTCCTTAAACAATACTGTCCTTGTCAGGATTTGTGGACTTTGGAAAGTAAAATGAGTCAGAGAAACAAGAATTAACTAGGTAACCTCAGTGGCCAGTGGCAGTCATCTCTACCATGAATATATACCTAGCAACCTTCTTTTCTCCTCCCCCCAAAGTTGGTAAAGGCGTCTCTTCTAGTGCTTTTTTGGTCATTCTAACCTCTGTTTTATATGCTCCTATTTTTAATCATCCTATTTCTGTAGGCATATTCCTTAGTGACTCTTTTAGCTTTTGTCTTGGGAGAAATTCTGTCTCTTGCCACGATTTTTACAACAACTTTCTCCCCTACTATATTTATATTTCATTAGCTTAGCCCCTCCACTCCTGTTTTATTATCATCCCTTCAGACTTCCCTTGCTGTTGCATGGCTACCTTGCGTTTAAACACTTGCACCGTTTTTTTTCTTGGGCAGGCAAACGGAAAAATGATGATTGCAAAATTGAAGGAGGTGAACCAGAATGTGTACTCTGTGCAGAGGGGGAGGAGTACACAGACAAGAACCATCATTCTTATAAGTGCAGAAGATGTAGAGTTTGTGATGGAGAACATGGTGAGTGTCTTAATAAACAATCGAAAGGGACCAATCATGGTACTGTATGTATCACCATGTATAATACAGTCTGAAATTGGGACCTATTCTGGCACTATGTCAGCATACAGGAGGGACAGGATGGGCCTGGCTGGGGTGAAGCAGGACCAGGTACTGAGTGACATTTATGAGTCAAGTCTAGGCAATTCTCCCAGATGTAGGAGAATGTCTAAACGTAAACATGGTGAACAGGGTCCATGAGCTCCAATCAAAACTGCGGGGACTTTTTTTTTCCTGCTTTGATTTATGCTTGTATAATGGCTTTTGTTCTTAGCCAGAAAGAGCTCAGACTCCTTCAGATACAAGGACAGAGGAACCCAAGAGGTGGGTGGTTTGCTCCCCCTTCTTTGGGGATCTGGTTTGTCCTGATAATTCCAATTGGGGACCTGAATTTTCATGGATATCCCAATCTATCTTGAGGGTTCAGATTAAAATAAAACAGAAGTATTCCCAGTTTTGTTAGACATCAAGAACTCTCTGGATGTAAAGCTTTTCTTCTCCCTATTTAGGCTCTAAAGCAGTGTTTCTCAACCCTAGCTGTACATTAGAATCAAACAGGAAGCTCCGAAAAATGCCAACACCTAGGTCCCGTCTCAGAGCAATAAAATCAGAATCTCTAAGTGAGGGTTTTGGCATTGGTCTGATTGAGTAGGTCTGGGCAGGGCCTGACACTCTGCATTTCTAACAAGCTCCCAGGTGATGCTGATGTTGCTGGTCTCTAAGCCATACTTGGAGTAGCCAGGCTCTAGATGAGAAAAAGGGAGCCATTTAAGTACAGGTGGGGTTGTCTAGGTTGCTGGATTGTCTGTCTACTTAAAACTCTGCTAAATGATTTCAACTCTTTCAATCTGGGGTTGCGTATTTGGCATTTAAATGCTAGTTGTGTTACTAAAGGTGTGATGGTGTGACTGCTAACAAGCGCTGGAACTCAAAAATCCATGCAGCTCCTGCCCATCCTTTTCATTGTCCATTTATAACTAGCTGCTCTAATTAATAGTCTGCAAATTGTTTTTCTAGGCCTAGAAGTGGAAAAAAACTGTACCCGGACCCAGAATACCAAGTGCAGATGTAAACCAAACTTTTTTTGTAACGTATCTCTGTGCGAACACTGTAACCCTTGTACCACGTAAGTTTTAGTCTTTCTCTGGTTAAAACACTAGGTATATCTTGAGAGAGAATGATTTCCTAAAGGGAAGCCTCCAAGCAACTAGATAACCATTTCTTCACCCAAACATCCTATATCTAAACATTTATTGAACACCTCCTATGTGCTTGATACTGTGCTGGCTGCTCAAGCCAACGATATGAGCAGACACGGGCCAGGCTTTGAAGGTCTAAGGCTAGAGGCAGACAGTGTCAAGAAAAGCAGTGGTTATTGTGTTCACACCACGTGGCAAGAAGAGACTTGTACTCAGAGTGTTGAATTATATAGGAAAAGCTTTCAACTCTGCCTGGGGAGATGGGTAAAGATATGACACATGGCTTGAGTCTTGAAGGAAAGAAAGAGCCTTACCAGGTGTACACGGATGGAAGGGACATTCCAGGCAGGGGAACAGCCACTGCAAAGAGATAAAAGGAAGCTCTGGAGAACAGACGACCTGGCTGGAGTGTAGGAAAGACTGAGAAGGAGCCAGGATCAGATCATGAAAGACCTGTCTTTCATGCTAAAAGAGCTTGATTTTGACCCAAAGATAGAACACCTGATTATAGATTTCACTTTTCTTCTGATTAATTGGGTGATTTTGAGCAAATCACTTAACCTCTCTGAGCTTCAGTTTCCTCATTCATAGATGCAGATAATATTCATTTGTCTTATCAACCTAATTTCTGTGAAGATCAGACTGGGTAATATGTGTTGTAAAAACAGCTTTCGCTTTGTAAGATGTTGTTTTGTATAAATATAAATATTTAGGATTATATTCATGTGCCTCTCCTTAAACTTGTAATTCACCTTGGGAAATTTTTAGGAGTTCACTTAGTAGACTTGAAAAGCAGAGACACAATGCCTTATGTCTCTTATTTACTAGAAAGTGTTAAATTATGTGCAGTTAACCTAGACTCTCCTTTCTAGCCTAAGTGTCTGAGAGTACGGTCATGGTGACAGTGTAAGTGGGGATTGGGAGGGGAACTAATGTAGTAAAATAATGATAATAATAATAGTAATTCTAAATACCTCACACTCTTGATTTAATTTTCTTTTCACAGTAACGCTTTGAGGCAAATAATATTATCTCCTTGTTATTGATGAGAAAACAGGCTCATGGTGGTTAAGTGACTTGCCCAAGCTCACCTAGTTAAGTAATAGGCAGAGCCCGGTTATAATTCAGACAATTTGTCAGTGTTTGGCTGTCTGAAGAAAATCCCACAGGAACCTCTTGAGCGCTGTAAGCACCACTTGATGCTAAAATGGGTAACCTTTAAGGACCACCTAGGTAGACTCCCTAAGCAGCAGCCTGGGCAGTGGCTATTGTCTGGCCATTTTATTGTTCTATGGGACAGTTTGGAAATTGCTTTTGGAAATTTATGATTTTAAGAGCGCAGTTTATGACCAAATTAAACTTTATTTTTGTGTCTATTTCATCCTTTTTCTTCTATGTTGATGTTTTAATACCTTCTTTTACCTCAAGACATTTTAAACCATAGTCATTCTTTGGGATATTTTTCATCTAAACAACCAAATTATGTTATGAATTTGCACCAGTGTAGATGCTAATTTAGAAATATTTGAGGGGATATGTTTGCCAAAAATGTGAAAATGAATAAAATGGCCCTGGATTTATAGTGTGTCATTGAAAACGATCAAGGAATCAGTCCACCAGGCTTTCTGAATTCCCTCTGTATTTTTTTCTAGGTGTGAACATGGAATCATTGAGAAATGCACACCAACCAGCAACACCAAATGCAGAGAAGGTAATTATTTCTTTTTATGATTATATTCTCCTTTCTTCCAACCCCACTGTAAAATATGAAGAAAAGCCAATCCAAAACTTTTGATTCTTTGAGAGTACTTCGTTTTAATCTTAAAAATTGCTTACTTTCATTTACCATGTCCAGTGTTCCAATCTACAGGATCCAGATCTAACTTACACAGTTTATGGGCCCCCCTGATCCTCATTCTAATATCTGCAGTAATATACAGGGGTAAGTTCTTACTTTGTTCAAACTGTAGATTGAAGTAACTTGGGAAGTAGTTGTTCACAAGAATTCCCTCCTGTCTCCTACCTACCAGGAGAAAGAAAGCTCCTACCAGGTAGGCAGCTCTGGTATGGTGTTAAATTCCTGTTTCTAAATGCACCCCTGAGAGCTGGTAAGAACAGATGATGTTATCATCTCTCAGCTACTGTTTTTGAGCAACCATTCTGGGGCACTGAACAAGGGTGTTTGTATTTAGGCAGTAGCTGAGTTGGCCAAGAATCGGAAGTAGTCCTTCAGTCTACATTGAGATCATCCCATGCACAAAGAGAATTCAAGGAGCGAAGGCATTGCAGGGGAAACTTGATAAATTCACCCCTGTCTGTGCCTCCTTTCTCTTGTCCAGACTCCATGCTTTTTGATTATTTCTCCACCTTAACTTAAAATACTGTGGCAATACCTTTTATGTGAGGGTTACTTAGTAAAGTCAGCACGTAAACCAAAATTGGCTATACTTATAGTTACTCTAGAAAAATCCCTTTAGATCATTCATACAACACATGGTGGTGCCAACTTTCAATAACTCTGAAACATCCAATTTTTCTTTTTCTGTTGGAACAAATCACTGTTTCTCTAGGTCAGCTGAAGATAAAGAGATTGCCTTGCCATTAGAGATCTTTTAACTAAAAATATAAACACTTAACTTGTGCTTGGAGACTTCTAGATTTCTTTCTTCCACCTCATACTGACTTCAAGGCATACACTTATTGAGTATATATATTTGAATTATTTGTGAGTGTGTGTACTTGAGTTTTGGGGCATTAAATGTCACTTCATGGCAAACTGATGTCCACTTTCCATAGCCTATGGCTTCTGTGCCCAGCTTCAAGCCAGAGAGAGGGAGTGGTGATGGCCATACAATAAGTCAAAAGCCAGCTTCAGGCTAGGCCAGTGTGTGGTAACTGGATGGCTCCATTAAGGTGTGGCATATCTCTAGACCACTTGACTCGGTGGGATGGAATTTTCAAAATCAGGAAGAATCTGCCTCTATGGTGCTCGGTTGCTTTAAATTTCAGTGAATGAGTTTCTCCTTTCTTCTCACACTTCTCTTAGTATGAGAGTATATTCTCACATGCTTCCTACAAGGCTGAGACCTGAGTCTGATAGAAATTTCTTGGATCTTTCAGAGGTGAAAAGACGGCGCAGGAATAGAAAGAATGGTCACCAGAAATCTATAGCCTCAAATACTGTAAGTGTTGAAACATGCATCAGCTTTCTTAAAAAAATAGAGAAGGTAGTCCTTCAGCTTTTTACCTTTACTTTTTTAAAAACAAACATTTATGATGCCTGTGTGTGCATGGGTTAGAGGGGCATCAAAAATGAATTAAGATATGGTTCCCAGTTGATAAGAAGCTTCTATACAAATAACAAGAATTAATTCTTAGTAATAAATTCTCACTTACACAAAGGGAGTTGAGAAAAGGATGCGGCCAAGCTTCCATGTTCCATGTTGGTATTATCCTGAAGAGAAATGCAGAGAGACATCCTTTACCAGAGCAGGGATTCCGTATCCAAGTCCAGGCACAGAGATAACACTTAAAGCCATTGTAAAGGTACAACTCAGCTCTCTCCAGACACTTGTTACCTTATCTGTCACCATATCTTTTTACAACATGGAATCAAAGCATTTCAAATAGCAAAAGAGGGAGCCTAGTGGCTTTCACTGCCATGGCCAGGATTCAATCCCTGGTCGGGGAACTGAGATCCCACAAGCCACACACAGAGAGGGAAAAAAAAAACAAAAAACCCCACACACATATAGCAAAAGATACACTGGGGAGAGTAACCAGTTCACTTGATGAATAACGATTTTCTCATTTGGGGCCAGTGAGGCTTAGGGTTCTTTAAATCAATATGGTACAAAATCATTTCAACTTAAACTATGTTGTCGTGTCAAAAATTAGAATAGTTACAGTAAAGAAAATTTTAGAATGATTATGGTTATTATGTCTATTTTCATGAGTCTATATAAAGAATAATCTCAGCACATTCCACAAATTACTTAGGTTCCTTGCCTCCGTAAAAAAAAAAAAAAAGCCAATATTCCTTAGTTTCTGGTTAGGCTGGAAACTTTCAAAATAAAAATTTGAATGGTGAAAGAATCCTCCTTAGTCACTTAGTCTAAATTTATACATTTAGAGTATTTTATTACGTTTAGAGTATTCTATTACATTTAGAGTATTCTAAATATATTTTGTCTTTCTCCTTCCCTCCATTTTTTTTTCCTCCCCAGGAAATGATGCCAGTGAATTTCACAGGTAAAACTTTTATCATTTTATTTCATCGAGTTGGCTTCCTTAGGAGTCACAGGCTAATCTTAGAGTTAAATAATTTTGTGAATTTCAGTAACATATAGTGGGGTCTTGCCGTTTCTTGAGGTTCCAGTTCTTCCTGCTCACCAAAAAGGGTTTATTAAGCAGTTTGTTTAAATGTATAACCGATACTCAGGTAACATAAGATGCTGTATTCTGAAGGCTTAATTTTCCTTCACAAGCAGTTAGGTGTAGTATAGAACTCCTGCCTACATTGACTCGGAGGCTAATCTGAATTGTAGACTCAGTTATTATTGGTGTATCCTAGTTCCGTAACAACATTCATGATTCTATTCTGTTCTGTTCTTCGACCTGTGAGTCAGTGATAAGATGGTCATATAAACTCTTGGCCAGCCTTTTAGATGTGTGGGTCATTGATCATCAAATCCACACGGACGTTAGAGGTGATCTTTTCCAGCCCTCTTACTTTATAGATGAGAAAAGAAGGCACAGAGATGTTATGTATCTTGCCCAGGTAATAGAGCAAATTACTGGGGACACAGGAGGAGTTGGGATTAGAACCCAAGGTTGTTTCTGTTTTTGATTTTCCCTAACTGGCTCTTTAGATCTCTAGGACTTACCCATATTCTTAAGTACTGTAAGAGGAGAAATAAACATGGTTTTCAGAAGTGGGAATTTTGTTCAGAAAAACAAATTTTCAGAGACTATTCTCTATTTTTCAGACATTGACTTGGGAAAACATATCATTAGTATTGCTGAACAAATGAAAATAACTGAAGTTAAAGAATTTGTTCGGAAGAATGGTATGGAGGAAACTAAAATAGATGAGATCAAGCACGACAATCCCCAAGATACAGCTGAACAGAAAGTCCAACTGCTCCGTAATTGGTATCAAAGTCATGGGAAGAAAGATGCATATTGCACTTTGATTAAAAGTCTCAGAAAAGCCAAACTTCATGCTCTTGCAGAGAAAATTCAAGATATAGTCCAGAAGGACATTACTAGTGAACATGAAAATGCAGACTTGCAAAATGAAAATGAAAGCTTGGCTTAAAGTGAAAAACAACTAACTCAGTTCTAAGAATCTATTAAAGAAAGATTAATGTTCGAATAAGTTCTGGGTAGCTGCAAGCTATAAATATTGCTTGGCTTTTTTTTTTTACTGGGTGTGTTTTCTTTTTTCATTTGTTAGATTTGTAGAGCTAATATATTTACAGGCTTTGAGCATCTCATGGTTCTGCCTTCAAGGATGTTTAAAATCTAGCTGGGAAGACAGACACAGTTAAGAGTAAATACAGGGGCATGTTAAGTACGCAAAAAAGAACGTATGCAAAGGACAAAAGATTTCAGATCATGTTCAAGTATCTAACATATGATTCTGTAAGTATGAATGTAATTAACATCTGTAAATACAAATGCCTATCCACAGACTGACCTCATTCCATAAATCAGTAGATGTGATCTTTTGTTGTCATGTCACAATCAACTGGCTCTAAATTACCTCCCCAGCTCCACTGATAATTCTAGAGATTTTACCATATTTGTAAATTTTGTTTACAGTTTTGAGAGGAGCATACTCAGGGAAAGCTTACACATACATCTGAATGTAGAATATAATAAAGTTCTACCTCAAAGGTCTTTGCACAGATTATTGACATTTCATGGTGAAATATTTCAATTTTGAATTCACATAGAAAATGCAGACTCAGTTATAACGCTTGGCTATTTTATATTTGTTTGTCACTTTGGATCAAAATAATCCACTTCTTTCTCAGGTGTCAAAACATTTTGATCAGGAAAGAATTACTAGATCATTGGCACCTCTCCATTTTCTCCTTGATGTGCGTCTTGGTGGCCTGTGCACCCCCAGACTTGGAAGGACTGCCTAAGAAACACTTAACTGATTCATGCAAAGCTGGGACTGCCCTTGGAAACACCTAGCTTAGTTTGGAGAGACTAACTGGTCTTACGGAAGGTAGCTTTGTGGCATAGCATGAACCCATGTCTACCACCAAAGCTGATAAGGTAGATTCTTATTTTGCTCCATCCGCCACAAAATGTTCAGTAACTCCCCATGTGTTCTCTCTTGATGCAAAGGCAGCTTATACATAGCAAAAGTGAAATCATATCAGGTTTCAGGAATTGCTCTTGTTATTTCCTGTAGCTTCTTAGACAAACAAGCCCCTTTCCCCACTACCACTTCCTTACTTTTACATTTAAACACTTTCGAAAGTTTATACTAAATGTGAATGTTAATAAATACTATTAATATTTATATAGTTGTAAGCTGAAGACAGTTATAAGCTGAAACAGATACTCAGAACTACCTAAAGAGCTTCCATTGATGGAAGGTGTTTTCCTCTTATGTTTGGAAATAGAAAATATAGGTAAAACTATTTAATTAAAATCATGTTTTTGGTATCTCTGGTTATCTCTTTTTTTGGTGGGGCCTTGCTTTTTGTTTTTGTTTTCTTTTTTCCATCTATTGCTAAATGTAACCTGTTTATAAATCTTTCATCCTTCCTTTGGTCTCTTAGGAGGTATTTCCTTTTTAAAGCCCTTTAGTAGTTAAATAATTTCCTCCATAGGCTGTTACTCTCAAAAATACCCCTCTCCTAAACACATAATTAGTTATTATGTGAGGATTTACTATAACAGGATTATATATCAGGCACTGAACGTGTGGTTAAGAAAGTAAATATTTCAAAGGGTTGGTTTTACTGGTAAGAAAGCTAAATGGGGATTTTGAAATAATCCTTCCTGCATACTTTCCGTTTCTGGCTACGTAGTGACCACTGGACTATCTCTCTTTTTTAAAACTTAATTTTAATAATATATTTTGTTTAACCCATCATTTCCCAAATATTATCATTTCAAATGTAAGCAGTATAAAAACTATTAATGATATAATTTACATTTTTTTTCATAGTAAAGCCCACAAACTCTGGTTTGTATTTTATTTATACTTACAAGCACATCTCAGTTTGGACTGGTTACGGCATTGATAGTTCAGGTCTATATCTTTGTTAGGGCAGATCTGGTAACCTTGACTCTATGGCTGGTTTAGCCCTACTACTAAAGTCCAGTATTCCCTGTGGCTTTTCAATGGGATCTCTTCACTCTGGTTGGTTGGGGTGTCAACAGTCTCCTACTCCTATGTCAGCTTTGGGAATTGTTCTGCTTACAGCACCCGTAGCTGTTCTTTGCTGGCTCTTGGAGTCTTATCCCTGCATGTGCACATAGTATCATCCGAAGACTCCAGAGAATCTCTGTACCGATTTCCGGAACTCTTTTTCTGTGTAGCTTCCCTCTTTTCAGTATTCTGTTCCGAAAAGCCTGGCAGCCTCCGCCTCCTAAACTTAACCTTCTGCCCCTCAACTTGACAAGATGGCTGCTCTCTGCTTAGAGTCCCTCCTGTACTAGGATCGGGAGAGGGCTTGTGGGCAGGAAGGCTGAGTGGTCATAGAGATCACCTCATTAGCTTCTCTTCTCTAAGGGATAGTCCGCACTGTTACCTGGTTTTCTGGTTCTAGACAGCAGGGGGGGCAAGTCTGATACTAGTTAATCTTCACGGCCAGAAGCGGAAGTCCTACAGGCACACCTCATTTTATTGTGCTTGGCTTTATTGCATTTCACAGATACTGTGTTTTTTACAAACAGGTTTTGTGGCAACCTTGCATCGAGCAAGTCTATCAGCGCCATTTTTTTTCCATCTGCTTACTTCATGCACATTTTGGTAATTCTTGCAATATTTCAGACTTCCTCATTATGATTATATTTGTTATGGTGATCTGTGATCAGTGATCTTTGATGTTACTGTTGCAAAAAAAATTACGACTTGCTGAAGGTTCAGACGATGGTTAGAATTTTTTAGCAGTAAAGCATTTTTAAATTAAGGTATGTACATTTTTTTGACATAACGCTATTACACACTAAATAGACTGCAGTATAGTATAAACATAACTTTTATATGCAGCGGGCGACCAAAAAATTTGTGTGACTCGCTTTATTGCGATACTTGCTTTATTGCGGTGGTCTAGAACAGAATCCACAGTATCTTCACCTTGTACTTTGCAAGGTGAAGTTGAGTTAGAGAACATCCTGTACCTACTCTGGTAAGTTCCAATCCGAGAATTTCAGGTTCCTTTGGGAGGACGAGGGAAGTTGAGAAGGTCTTGGGACTTGGTGCTATGGCTCTTTCCCTCATAGTTTCACTTGAGTGTGACCATTCCCAGTAATCACAGCCATGATCCAGAGCTTGAGGTGGCCCTTGGTTCAAGATCACCCTTATTGTGGTGAACCTGGTCTGGTCCTCTTTGTGGCGGACATCCTGGGTAAGAGTGTCACCCATGAGCTGTAGAAAAAAGGTTATTTGTAGAAAGAGGTCATAGATCATATGGTGAGACTTGCTTACTCAGATATCTTGGTCTTCCACATTGGTTTGCATACGGAGTTCTCCCAACATCGATTTGATCAGAAACTTTTTAGCTATTGAATTATCAGTTTCTGTAGAGCTGTCTGGATAAGGTATATAGTCAATGCAACTTAGAATTTTGTCCATCCTCGCTCCTGAAAGGTAATGTATCTGAGTATAGAATTTTATGCCAGAATACTTGCAGTTTTCCCTCATCACTTTGAAAATGTTAATCTACTGTCTTCTTACATTTATCGCTGCTGATGGAATGTCTGCTGTTGGTCTAAATATCATTCCTTCAAAGGTAATGTTTATTTTTTAATTCTGATAAGTTTTAAAGTTTCCCCTACCTTTTCCTTGGTGTTCTGCTGTTTCACTACAACGAGCTTTGATGTAGATTTATTTTTACTTATTTAATAAGAGTAAATTTTTAATCAGAAAGATAGGGCTGTAGCTTCTGTCCTGTCTGGAAAATTCTCAGCTATTTTCTCTTTCAGAAGAGTTTCTTTTGAAACTCTTAGTATTATCTGGTGAAGCTTCTTGGCTTATTCTTCAGGTCTCTTACTTTTACTTTTTTAATTTTTTAGTATAATTGTCTCTATATATTGCATTTGGGGGAATTCCTCTTCATTCTCTTCAAATTAACTCTTTTCTTTCTTACTAATCAGGCTGGAGTATTACATCCACTGAGGTATATAGTTTGTTGTCTACATTTTTCATTCTTAGCATTTCTAAGGGCTTCTTTCACACGTTCACTTGTACCTGTTTCATTTCTGCTTGTTTTTCATTGGCAATTTATTAGAGTTCAATAGATTTTATTCTACCATCTATCTCTTTCAGGATCTTACAGTTATTTTAAAGTCTTTTTTAGAATTGCTTTGTTATCTTAACCTTAACTGCAGTGATTTCATGCTGATTTTGTAGTGTGGCTTTTCTGGTGTGATTTTCTTCTTGTATTTTTGAGCTCTGTAGGTTCATCTTGAATAACAGATTTGGGTTTTTTCTTATTTCTCTTCACTCACCTCTATCTAGTAGTTTTGTGGCTTCTTTTACCAGGGCTTTCAGAGTCCCCAGTTCTGAGCCTGGATTTATAGATGTGTTTTGCAACTCACAGCCCTTGGTGACACTGGGGCTGTCACATATTCAGTCATGTATCTGGAGGCAGCTTGGATCAGTTCCATGTCATGAGGTTGTGCCTAGGTCTTCCCGGATCCCAAGCCCCACAACATCATATAAGCCATAGTCCCAGGCAGTGTTTGGCAGAAGTTCTGTTTAGCTGTCTTTCACCAGTCAGAAAGCTCTGCCTTAGTCTCCGATTTTAAGAAGGGAGCCTGGCTCTTGTCCTCTGCCTCAGGTGGGCACATTTATTCTTGGCTAAACCCAGGAACAAACTCTGCTTTCCTACCAGGCATTGATCTCACAAGGCTTTGGTTTCTGTCCAGGTCATTAATTATCTTACTGTTGTTTTCCATTCTTCTAGCAAGGAAGGATTTCTTATTCTTTAGCCTGCCTGTGCCTTTTAGTTTTCCTTTTAAAATGTGTTGTGTATCACTGCTGTTTGGTCAGATTGAGAGGGGGTGGCCCTCAAGAAGTGCACTTACAATTCTATATTAACCCCAAGGCCCCAATTTTGTCATTAGATGATCAGAAACAATGTTTTGTTTTGTTTTACATTTTTAAGTTACAACTAGCACTCAAGTTGTTTTCAGTTACATAGAGGATTAATTAATTAATTAATTCAAATAAAATAAAATAAATAACAAGGCTACACTTTGCTCTCAGTTGGCCACAAGATGGCAGTGTTTCTCCTAGTACTAACTGCCCTCCTTGTATAAAAGACTTCTCCCTACCAAAACATATCCCAGTCATCTCGTATTTTGATTCTTTTTTTTTTTTTTTTCTAGTAGGGGCCAAGCACAGCCTGGAGTAGTAGATCAAGACTCAGTCTGGAATCAGGCAATTCCAAGTTCAATTTCTGGCTCTGCCACAAACTAACTTACAACCTTGAATTGAACATCTCCAAGTTTCTGTTTCCTCATCTAGAAGATGAAAGACACATCTGGCTTGCCCTTCTTGTGACTTGGAGAGGAACAAGAAGAAAATACACGGGCAAGTGTAATCAATTATAATGTACTATGGAACGAGCTGTTAACCATTAATGTGCATAAGAATCACCTGAGGAAATTTTTAAACTGCGTATTTCCCAGGTCTTGCTCCCAGAGATGTTCCGTAGATCCAGGGCCGTGCCTGGGAATGTGCATATTACCAAGCACCCTTGATAATCATCATGCTGAAGGCCCTTGGACCGTAATTTAAGAAACCGCATTATACAAATACATACCAGTAGAAAGAGAGATTAAGGCACAGAAGTTATTCTTAACTCCCTTTGTAATGGCACTTATTATTTTGTATTTTGAATAAAATTTTATGAAATCCCCTCTCCTCATAGATTAATCAGAGCAGAAATGTGCATTTTGTTCATCCTTTCATGTTCACAGCAAGTATTTGGAAACATTTATTGTGTGATAATCAGATCTAGGACAGTCTGTAGAGCATCCCTAAAAGTTTTACCCCATTTATGCGTATATTTGGGTAACAGGACTTGACAGACTCAACAGAATTGTCTTAGCTTTGCTTTTGGACTCCCATGGGCTTATCTTTGCTTCCAAATAACTGACCCAGTGCCTTCTGGTAATGGCTGGATCATGGGCTTCACCCTGCCGAGAGAAGCAGATGTGCGGGAAGTTTAGCAATGAAGTTTCAGGAATCTCCTGGAGTGCTCTATCACTGTGACTATCACCACCAGGATTTTCTGACCAGTACTGGCAGCATTTTCACAATTTCTACACAAAGCCTCGGCCCCCCTACTCTTCCAAGGATACTCCTCCAGTGGGCTGTTGCCCCAGCAGAGAAGGTCCCACTCAAAGGATGAACAGAGCAGGACAGCTATGCAGTCTGGTCCCTTGGGTGCGGGGCTAGGGTGGGATAGCTCAGACGTGACAACCCAGCACCTGGACGTGGGTGTTTCTAGTTTCATCTTAGGCAACAGGAGATAGCAAAGTTTTCTGAAAGGGCTATAGAATTTTGCTTCATTTGGACCTTGTTCAGACTTCACACTGCTACAGAAAGGAAGGTGCATAAACAGAACTACAGAATTTTTAGTCTTCTAGAAAATCCTTGTTGAGCAGCTGTTTTTGAGCCAGCACCATTTTAAGCCTTTCACTAAAATGTTAATAAAATATCCAAAGACTCTGGAGCTGAGATTCTAACAACAGGAGACACACAATTAACAATAAGTGGACTTGATTGCACTTGGTCTTTGTAAGGACCATTTGTTGAATTGGTGGAACCCTGAATCAGTAAATGAGGGGGGATCTCAACGCAGCACTTTCCACACCCCATCCTGCCAAGTCCTTGTACAGAGTACACTCTGCCCTTGGGCGTTTTCTTCACTCTGCCAGCTTTTCTAGGGATTGACCTATGCCTCACACCTTAGTCATCTTTTCACTGAGACAGGACTTCTTAAGAACACAGCATTTGGAAAGTCCCTTTCTTCACCCCTCCCTTTTTGTTTTTAATTGAGATGAAATTCACATAAGATTACCCACTTGAAAGTGTACAGTTCAATGGCATCTAGTATATTTGCAGTGTTGTGCAAGCGCCACCTCTATCTAGTTCCAAAACAGTTTCATCACTCCCAAAGAAAACCCTGTATCCATTAAGGGGTCACTTCTCCCCCTCTTCTCCCTCCAGCCCCTGGAAACCACCAATCTGATTTCTGTCTCTAAGGATTTAACTTCTCTGGACATTTCATATAAATGGAAACATATAATGTGTGGTCTTTTATGTCCAGCTTCTTTCATGAAGCAGTATTTCCAAAAACATTCAAGTGAAGCTGCAGGTTTTAATTCTGCGCAGTCAGAAAAGGAAGTGTAACGCCAGCTAGTTCTTATCTGATAGTAACAATCAAAGCTTTTCTGATTTCTTCAGCTTCAGAAGGTGACATATACAATGATTGTCAAGACTTCTATTTTCTAGGGTGAGTTTTCTTTGGATAAAGATCTAGAATAACACCTGAAACGAACACAACATTGTAAATCAACTGTACTCCAGTAAAAAAATTTTTTAAAAATCTGGAATACAGGTGACAATGGTAATAGCTTTGATAGATCATTTCATAGCCTTACCTCAATCTCTGCCCTTACTGTCAATAAGAGCAAATGTTTCAGTAGGAAAGTTCAGTGAGATGTTTTCCTGCTGGGAGTGAGGATGGAGGGTCTCAGATGTGGAGAGCTTCGAGGTAGTCTTACTCTTCTATTTATGGAGAAATATCAATGGGCCTCTCAAGAATCCTTTTCAGTTTTAACTCCATCAATGCATTTTATTCCCAGACTTTGAGGTAGGTATTATTACACCCATTTTAAGGATGAAGAAACTGAGGCTTTAAGAAGATAAAGCTTTGTACAGATTTATACATCTTTCTGCTGACAACTGAGACTGAGTTTTTATACTCTAGAGGAAGTTCTAAAATAATGAGCAGTGTCATTTCCTGGAACTCTTAGTACCCTCACCAGAAGCCTAATGAACTTTCACTGAAAACCAGCATGGGTCTGACATAAGATTTAGAGTTAGATGAGAGGGTGCCTGCCCCCACCTAGAGAAGGCTCTCAGTGACACTCAGTAAAGATGACCAGACCAGGCTCAATTCAGCCAGGTATCCTCTATGCCTCATACTGCTTTTCACAAACTCTCTGTGTGTGTGTGAGAGTGTGTGTGTATGTGTGAATTCCCTATTCTGTTTCAAGCCTACCAAAGGCAGTGGTTCCTAATGAGAGCTATAGTAGCATTCTTTGTTTCCACGTGATGCTTTCATGATTGCTCTTGACAAAATGTTTGAGATGGCAGCTAACAGGCTTTAGAAGCACACACATACACACAGACCTTTAATATTACCCCTTGTTAACTCAAGAAATATATATATTTCAGGAATATATATATATATTCTTGAGTTTATCTCATGGTGGAAATATATAGCAGAAAACAGCTATACTAATTAACTAAATAATTTCTTCTCTAATGAGGGATATCAAGAAAAAAGTACAGGCGATATGAATTGGTGTAACAGGGAAACCTAATCTAGACTGGGATGGGGCTAGAAGATTAGGGAAGGGCTTCTCAAGGAAGTGATGTCAGGCTGTGTATTCTTCCATATCTAAATATCTCTATATAGATATGAACAGATATTCATGAAAAATTAAAACATGATTATGTCCGGGCAGTGAGCATTGGAATTATGTGGGATTATTCTTTTGCACACACACGCATACACACATATATAAAACAAAAGTTATTTTTTAAGGTATTTCCTATGCAGATAAAGTACATACACATTTGTTGAAAGTTAGGTTTAAGCACAATCAAATCAAAAGCTGGTTTAATCTCTGCTGATTTTGTATCTTTGACTTTGTAACTTTTACTAAATAAGGAGCTATTTGATGTTCATAGAGAAACTTAGGAAATCTCAGATGTTTTATTTTTCCGAGAATTGGATTGCAAAATAGGTATTACAAACTCAAATAATGACAGTGTCTGCTGGACCCTAATTGAAGCCATCACACAGGGCTAATTTTCCTGTAACACCAGGCAGTGAGCCTCCTTTGTGATGAACTCACTCAGGTCACAGCACCTTTGCTGTGTGGGTATGTGAAGGAGGCTACTGGGCAGAGTTTCCAGTACTCGGGAGCTTGCTGTCTTGTGGGAAAGACAAGCCAATCACATAAAAGCACATTCTGAGCGTACATGGGCTGCATTCTCTTATTCCTGCAAATAACCCAAAATGTCAGGCAGGACATATTGACTGTGGTCATTTAATCTGTATGGTAATGAGGGCACGTGAATCACCTTGTGGGGTAAGTTTAAAACGTAGAGGACTGTTCTCGTGTGTAGATTCTAATGCAGAGGAGCAGAGCTGACATCTGAATTCCTAACATGGTTCCCCATCAGTGAACTCCAGTGAAGACCCCCTGAGAAATACTGACCTAGAGGACCTGTAGATGGGCTTCAAGGAGCCTTGAATCCTCTAAAATTATGTATTAAATTGAGGTTGCGTGTAAATTTGTCTAGGAAACAGCCCATCCTGTTCATCATCTTCTCTAAAATCCACGCTGAAAATGGGTTACAAATCACCTCCTTGAAGAATATTGATTGCCGTGCGCTTCTCAAGGGCCAGATGCTCATCAGGCATTTCACTTCACTCTAACAAAAACATATGGACCGGAGGCTTCCCTTGTGGCGCAGTGGTTGAGAGTCCGCCTGCCGATGCAGGGGACACGGGTTCGTGCCCCGGTTCGGGAAGATCCCACGTGCCGCGGAGCAGCTGGGCCCGTGAGCCATGGCTGCTGAGTCTGCACGTCCGGAGCCTGTGCTCCGCAACGGGAGAGGCCACGGCAGTGAGAGGCCCAAGTACCGCAAAAAAAAAAAACAAAAAAAACGTATGGACTAAGTATTTTACAAATGACGAAACTGAAGCTCAGAGAAGTTAACTGTTCCCTCCACCTCCTCAACACCCCTGTACAATTCACCCATTTAAAGTGTATAGTTCAGGGAGGGTGGGAGGGAGACACAAGAGGGAGGGGATATGGGGATATATGTATATGTAAAACTGATTCACTTTGTTATAAAGCAGAAACTAACACACCATTGTAAAGCAATTATACTCCAATAAAGATGTTAAAAAAAAATAAAGTGTGTAGTTCAGTAGTTTTTAAAATATTCACGGAATTGTGCAGCCATCACTATAATCTAAATTTAGAACATTTTCATCACCTCACCAAAAAAAACCCATACCCATTACCAATGAGTCCACATTTCCCCACCTCCAGCCCTAGGTAACCACTAATCTACTTTCTGTCTCTATATTCTGGACCTTGGATGTCAATGGAATCATGCAATATGTTACCTTTTGTGACTGGCTTCTTTCCACTTAGCATAATATTTTCAAAGTTCATCCATGTTATACTATGTACCAGTACTTCACTCCGTTTTACAGGTGAATACTGTATAAAATATACATTGTATAGATGTATCACAATTTACTTATCAGTTGATGGATATTTGGGTGGCTTAAACTTCTTGGCTATTATAAATAGTGCTGCTATGCACATTCGTGTACTAGTTTTTGTGTGGACATATGTTGTTATTTCTCTTGGGTATATACCTAGAATTGCTGGATCATATGGTAACTCTATGGTTTACATTTTGATGAACTGTCAAACTTTTCTGCAAAGTGGCTATGCCACTTTACATTTTCAGCTGCAATGAATGTGGGCTCCAATTTCTCCACATTGTCCCTAGTACTTGTTACTGTCTGTCTTTTTGATTATAGCCATCCCACGGGGATGTGAAATGATATTGCACTGTGGTTTTGATTTGCAACTCA